ACCCAAAAGAAGTTGCAACAGCAACTAAAACATGCCAGGCTCTCAGTCCTAGCCCAGAGTGCACCAGCAGAACTGCCATGCTCCAACCCTGGCCAGTTTGCTGCAGGGATTGATACCCTCCCCACCTGGCATCATCCCACACAAAACCCAGAAAAAAAAAGGTGAAAGGAGAGGGAGAGAACAGAGGTCTCAAGCTCTGAGACAGACTTTCTCTCCCTGTTCCTGAGGCTTTCCCTTCACATAGCTTCAGTTTGCTTCATCAGTGAAGAGCAAGGGGCAGAAGAGACATGGGAAGCAGGCTTTTCTGTCTCCCAAATCAGCATTCAGGCTTCAGCAGCCCCAGGAGGAAGAAGAGGACCCAGACCAGGTGGCCTGACCCTTAAATAACTCTTCTGACCTCATCATGTGATCCCAACCAGAAACAGGCATTACTTGAACACTGCTACTGCAGACCAATCTTTTGAAGAGTGGCCAGCAACCCCCCAGTGAAGTGGCCAGAGTCACTAAACTGGTTCCACAGGTTCCTTGGAGAAAAACTTAAGACAAGAGGTCTGGACACAATAAAGGAGTGGGGGGAGTGGTCCTTTCCAGTCCTAGAGGAAGCAAAATATACAGCACAAACAAGATACACAGCAAAATAAAACCAAAACCTATTGACCACAACACAACCCCAAGTTGACCACTCGATGTTGTCATGACCCAAAAGGCATGATTGTGTGTGTGCTTCGGCACCAGAATTATCCCCGCCGAGTTGCAGAGCATTGCACGGGAGAGTTTCCTGTTGCAGAGGAAACCCCGGTGCAGGGACGAGTTTCCCGCCTTTTCTGCAGCTTCTTTTGCAGAGTGCATTGCTCGAGTTGCAAGAGGAATGCACGGTGCAAAAGAGTTCCCGCCACCGGTATGCAAATTTGTTCCCCGTGATTGGCTAGTGCTAAATTATTAACATGTGGCGGCTAGCGATTGGCCTGTTAGCCGTATAAGAGGCTTGAGCAGTTTCCGCTCAAGCTGAAGAGGACTCCACATCCATCTCGTGGGCTCGTGGGGACTCGGGGTGCATGGCAGGGTAATAGAAACCCTGTGTGAGATCCAGAGGAGCGTGGCGGCCTGATCCACCGCCCACCTCTTCCCGTCTTCGAGCACGACTTTTATAAAACGTATCTACGATTTCCATTTTGGTGGCTCGTTCACCCAGAGCATCCGGAGCTCTGCACCATGGAGCTTAGCAAACTCCATGAGACCGTCTGTGTTGTGTC